GGCCTGCCCGCCAGCGCCCCCACCCTCCTCGTTCTCTCGGCTTTCCCGCTCTGAAGACACAGTCCGCTCCCTCTCGCCCCGCCCCGCCCCGCCCCCAGCTGGGCACCGCAGGGGCTTTTGCGCTGACGCCGGCCTCGCTTGTCGCCCAGGCTGAGACGCAGCCGCGCGGGCCTTCCCCTGCGCGTTGGCTTTGCCTTGCCGCCGCACGTTACACTTACCGCGCAAGTCCCGGGGGAAGCGCGCGATAAACTTGGAGCGGCCGCACGGCCAAAGTAATAGTCGCGGGAGAAGCGTGACTGTCCGGCTATAAAAGGAGCCAGCCGGCTGTGACAGTGCTTGAACATATGACGGCGGCCTAGCTGGTTTCCAGCCAGCTTTCATTTGAAGCTGAAGCGGGGCCCTCGGAGACACTCGCTAGCCTAACCCTGCGCCGGGACATCGTGTTCAGCCCTGAAGACCTGCCTACTACAGAGCTCCCTTCAGCAGCCGGCTGCGAGCCTGACTCCTACAGCCGTGCCTCTCAGCGTCTTGTAGACTGGAGGACAGACGTTTTAAACGCACCCTTGCTAGACTCACACCCCCCTCAGAATATGCCGCCTTTGTTTTCACTCGTTTTTTGGCTACAGAGAAGTACAAGAGCAGCGCTTTCCACACTTTTCTTCAGCATGACCCCATTTCTGGCCCCATTTCCACAGCACAGCTCTTCACTCCCAGCCCACACGGCAAGTTACCCGGGGCGGGGTAGGGGAGGTTGGGGTCAGCACTGGGCTAGGCAGTCTGTCCTGGGGCCTTCCAGGGCTGCAGCTGCAGTGCGGAGCCAGGCTGGCAGCCACAGCATGGCTCGGGGTAACCCAGCTCCGCTTTTCAGCAGCACACACTGCCCAAGCGCCTGCTGCTCCGTTTGGGGGTTTTTTCCGCACGTTTTTTTTGACCCCTGGACGTCTAGCTGGGGTGCTGTAGATGTGTTTGCAGCACCATATACTGCAGGGCCACACTTGTCTGGACGTGCCCTCTGGATTTGTCTTGTGAATCATGTTTGCACACCTAACAGTTCTAACGTGCAACACCCTTTGTAGGCATAGGGAGGGCACGGAGGGGGCCCCGAGACTGGCCCATGCCAGCAGGGGAGTGTGGGGGGGTCATGGCTGGTGCCCCCCCTGAGACTGTGAGGGCACCAAGAGAAGTGCTGCTGGCACATTTGGTTTGCTGGCACTTCAGGTTTGATCAGCCGCTGGGGGACCCCCCCACACCCTGTGATCAGCGATCGGCTGCTGGTCCCCCCCCCCCAGGATCAGGAGGCACTAGTTACCCAAGGATCCCAAAGCATCTCCATGTGCCTCAGCACCCTGACTAAGAATTGCTGATCTAGAAAAATCTTATCTAACCGCAGAGAGATTAGGTCAGTCTGGTGAACCTATGGTGCATTTCATTTCATTTTCAATTTACCCTCATGCATTACATTATTCTTTCCCTCAAAAGCTGTTATAAAGTTTGTTCTAAGTGTTGCATGGTACCCTGTGGTACCCTTGCAAGGATGCTAAGGTATCCCAGGACTCTAGTTGAGAGTCACTGTCCTAGAAGCATTGCAGAGCTCTCCACTTCATCCGCTCTGTGGTATAGCCTTATGTCTACAAAAGGGCAAAAATATAAGATA